GGAAATGAAGGTAGATTGATGCTTGGCTGAGAAGGAGATAGGGTTGCCAACTCCAGGTGGAAAATTCCTGGAGATATGAGGGATGGAGCCTGGAAAGGGTGAGGTTTGAGGAGGGATGGGACCTCAGACAGGTACAGTGCCATAGACTCTGCCCTCCAAACCAGCCATTCCCTCATGGGGAACCACTGTTGCCAAAATCCAGCTGAGGGTTGGAGATCACTCAGAATTCCAACTGGTCTCCAGATGGAATCGATCAGTTCCTCTGGAGAAAACGGTGGACTCTATGTCCTTATACCTTGCTGAGCTGCCACCCCCACCCTATGACAGCCAAAGTTATGTGGCAGTCAGGGCTTCAGAGCATGGTGGGGGCTGCTGGTGAGGGGGAGATGGAAAGCTGATCAATGAGGGGGAAATGAAGGTAGGTTGATGCTTGGCTGGGAAGTAGATAAGGTTGCCAACTCCAGGTGGGAAAATCCTGGAGATTTGAGAGATGGAGCCTGGAGAGGGTGAAGTTTGAGGAGTGGGGCCTCAGACAGGTACAATGCCATAGACTCTGCCCTCCAAACCAGCCATTCCGTAATGGGGAACCACTGTTGCCAATCTCCAGGTGGGGGCTGGAGATCACTCAGAATTACAACTGCTCTCCAGATGGCATTGATCCATTCCCCTGGAGAAAATGGTGGACTCTGTGTCCTTATACCCTGCTGAGGTTGCCATGGCAAATTGATTCTGAGTGGCCACGGCCTTGGCACTCTCCCAGAACCTCTTTCTAGCGCTCATTGTATTTATTTCCACAATGGGCCTTATTCCGTTATATATATGAAACAGAATGTTCAACAGAGCACAGCCAAAGAGTGTTCTAAATCACCACAGCCAGAACTGGAATTCTGGGTCATTTTAGTGTTGTCTTATAGCCATAGGACTATTAAACTAAAAGTCCTGCCTTCTCCTACTGGTGCCTCTCCTATCCCCCCAAGTTTTGAAAAGACTGGACCAGGGGGTTGAATTCTATGAGCCCCCAAAGAAGGTACCCCCATCCTCCATTGTTTCCAAGGCATGTAAAGGGATAGCAGTCCCTTTAAATGCCTTCTGGGTGAACTCACCACTTGGAGAAGCCATTTAAAGCGATCACAGTCCCTTTAAACACTGTACCTTTAAATGCCCTTTAACTTCAGCTATCTTTGGTCCCAAAAATCCCAAATATTTTCAAGATTTTCAGGGCTTGGCCATTTTGGATAGCCAAAATTAAGCCCCAATCAATAGTTGGCTTCCCCCCCCCCAAGCTCAGTTTATGCTGAATGCACACCCCTAGCCAGAGATACCAGTCTTTTAAAGTTTTAGGGTTCAAACTCTCAGTTGATTTTTGGCCACACAGCCTGTGCGGGTTTTAGTTTCTGCTTGCTTTAATGATCTGCTGCCTGCAACTCATGGGTGTGGGTGGGGCAGAATTAACATGATAAAAATGCATGCTTTTGATCACTGGCTTCATATAGAAACTGCCACAGAAATCTCAGGTGCAGAAGCAGGCTCTAGATTTGTTTTTCAATGTAGCAGCACCAAAGATGGGAAGAGATTCCATCCACCCATTTGAATGCCTCATTTGCACAATCTAGAAACTTTTTAAATGTAGCACCTTTCCTTAAAGGTAAATCAATGCATAAACCAGAGGACGGCGGAAGACCGGAAGGCCTGGCGGGAGCTGGTCCATGGGGTCGCAAAGAGTTGGACTCAACTGTGCGACTGAACAACAACAACAAAAACCAGCCTTGTTCAATTTGCTGCAGTGGGTAACTTGAAAAGGAACCAAGCTCCCGCCATGTGCTGTGGGGGAAAGTTAATTACTTTCCCGAAGAAGCCAAATCTATTCCTTAATTGTCTTCTGGTGGCTCATGAATTGGCCACTGGAGCCTGCATGAAAACTGGTCATCGAAAATACAAACCACCATGATAGGTGAAGTGGGCAATTTAGTTGACAGAGTGGGGGAGAAGCGTAATTTAAGCTGGTCACTTGCTATTGGTTTGCCTGTTGCCCCATCCCCATCACAGCTACTTTTTTTGCTTTCCATACTCTTTCCATGTCTGAAGCCAACCCAACAATAAGGCCACAGTCTTATGCCTGTTTGCTCTTACTTATTACAATATTTTAATCTCATTCATAATTACGTGTAGGAGTAAGTGCTAGCATGCCCACCCTTGATGGCCAGTGTGATGTAGGTGTTAGGATGTTCGGAGTGCATTCCGGAACACACACTAGGAAAGCTCAGTGACTGGCCAAGGTTTTACACACTAAGACAGGGTGGGGCTGTGACTTAAGAACATAAGAACATAAGAGACGCCAATGTTGGATCAGGCCAAAGGCCCATCCAGTCCAACACTCTGTATCACACAGTGGCCAGAAATACCAGTGCCATCAGGAGGTCCACCAGTGGGGCCAGGACATTAGAAGCCCTCCCACTGTTGACCCCCCCAAGCACCAAGATGACAGACTTCATAACGCAGCATCTTCTTTTCATGCAGAAGGTTCAAGACTCCAGTTGAAAGAATTTGGTAGCAGGTGATACCTTAACCCAAGACTGCTGCCAGTCTGACTAGATAATACTGACCTCGATTGACCTGTTTGTCTGATCCAGTATAAGACAGCTTCGTAAGTGTTCAAATCTTAGCCTAACAAACACAGTGCTTTTTAAAAGGTGAACCCTGTTACAGAGTCTGCTTCAAGTGGGTAGAAACAGCCTTTGAGACACCTAAAATAGCTCTGTGAATTTCAGCCAATATTTAACAACAAAAGCTAAAATAATTCACACACTTGGGTATTAACAGACCAAAAAAAAGCTTTTATGGACAACCCTCACCATGCCCTCCACAGGACTTCACATGCTGTTTTTGCTGTGACGGACAAATGCAGCCAGTCTCCTGGTATAATAACTGTGCTGTCTATCAGGTGTAGACAGGAATGTTAAGCATAGGACAAATTATGAGACGTGGCTTGCTTTGCTGCCAAACTGTAGCTTCAGAGACAGCTTCGAATACATACTCTTGAATTTTCTTCAATTTCTCGGCCTGTCGCCGCAATCGTTTCAACCAGCTCGGACACGTCTAGATCTTCCATTACCATCCCAATGTATATACAGTTTTTTTCTCCTCCAAATTCTGGACCTGGGTAGGAGGGGAAGCAGGAGACAAAAAAACAGGCTGGAATGAGATGTTATGTATATCTGGGAAATTCTATAAATGCTTCTTTTAAAACAGATGTTAACGACTTGAAGCCCCGCACTGGCCCTAGGATTCCAGAGCCCTGTTTAAGGTTGCCCTTGGGGCACTCTGTGGCAGAACATCCCCGTTCTGACCTGCAGGCCCTATTCTTCCATGCCCTCCGAGACATCTGGGGACCAGTGGCTACCCAAGGTCTCCACCTGGCATGTGCCACCCAGGAGGGGCTGTCCTTTGATTCAAATGCTGCTACCGTATGGCCTTTGTGGCCATTGCCCACTGAGATGACCAGGGCACCCAGTTTCCTGTCTACTGTTCTGAGGCCTTTCCTCTGTGTCTTCTACCGTGCAGTGCCTGGTTGCCTCATGCAGCACTGGGGAAGTAGCCACTTACCAACTGACTGCCTCTCCCCTTCTGCCTCACACTCATTAAAATAGCATGCCCGGAATGATGGAGATCCAAGTCTGGTCCAGTCTCTCAAGTCACAGCCAACTTACGGTGACCCCAGCAAGGGGCCCAATCGGACAAGTTCAGGCTATATCAGTAGTGGCGAACCTATGGCACGGGGGCCAGAGGTGGCACTCAGAGCCCTCTCTGTGTGCACCCGTGCCATTGCCCCAGCCAGGCCCAGACCATCATAAAAGTGTCGAATTCTCTGCCAAATAATTTTAAGTAAATGAAAGCATTTGGGATTGCTTTCCTTACTTTGTTTGGATCATCTTAAGTTAATGTATGAGTTGTTTTTTCTAAAGTAAAACCTCCGTATTCAGGTTAAATTGCCGCGTTGGCACTTTGCGATAAATAAGTGGGTTTTGGGTCGCAGTTTGGGCACTCGGTCTCTCAAAGGTTCGCCATCACTGGGCTATATCGTGCTGCCTTCCACAGGGAACTGCTATCAGCACTAAAAGCTATAAAGCATTTATTAAATAGATGTCAACATCAATGTTCCCTCTAAACTGTGGAGTCTTGTGAGCAAAAATTCTACTTTGTGAGCTGCTGGCATTAAAGTTGTGAACAAGTGATTTGGCTACTGCATAAATTATCTTGCTCTGGGGCCATCCTCCCTGAGCTAAAACAAAAATCTGTGAGCTGGAGGCTAAAATTCTGTGAGGTGGCTCACACTAACTCAGCTTAGAGGGAACATTGGTCAACATGCATATTCTCAGCACAGCTACAGAATGAACAAGGGAACCAAAAGAAAAGTGTAAAAAGCAATTCCCATGTCCCTCCCTCTGTGGATGTTAACATAAGGCAGGCTTTTTTGATTTAAAGGTTACAGTTGTTCAGGCCTCTTTTTCTCAAGCCTCTAGGAAAAGATTTCTCTAGGGGTTTCAACCTCCAAAACGTTTTCCTGCTAGATGACACCAGTGAGCCATCTCACTGTATCTAGTCAGGCCTACCATTTGCATTTGTAAAGCTGTGGTGGGAAACACTGGCAAGCAATTGACTCTGCCCCACCCTGTCTGTACTCTGCCAAGAAAGAGAAAACCTTTTAAAACTCAAGATGAAGGTTTTGCTCAGTTCAAACCTTCAAAGAAAAATGCATTTCCCTA